ACATATAAAAATAAATATAAATAAAAAACCTTTCTTCTAATTAATGGTAGTTCACTTTTCAAATTGCCTTCTGCTTTATTCTGATTTTCACAAAGTTAAAAATAAAAGTTTCAAACTGAAACAGTGACTCCTTTTGAGAGAAAGCTAGTTCCATCTCAATACCCAGAATATTTCAAACTAGGATCTGAGCTGATGTCTTTCCCATAGCCATCTTAACATACCTAAGCGAGCCAAACATTAATTCATGCATTTATAACATACATTTTAAATGAAGACAGTACTGTTTTTAAAATAAGATAAAAATTGGTCCTTGGAGGAGGATACGTGAAAAAGAGTTTACTCATTTTATGTTTAAAGTAAAAAATACATACATTATATAACAAAGTGCACAGTACAGGAAAGAATCGAAAATTTTATAAGAATTAGAAACACTGGTATGTCTCTTACCAAGCATTTACCATCAAATGAAATGGACTGCTCAAAGACACATACAGGGGATAGAAAAGAATTAACAGCTTGCATCACTTCATAAATTAAGACAAGCAAATCTGGCACTCATCAGGGACCTTTACCATTGCTCTGCTGCAAGCCGCCAAGGCCTGTTTAGCAAGGTTTGTCTAGGAGCATATTCCAGCCACTGTTTCCCCTGCATCTGCTAAAACCTGCGGCTCAGCCCAGGTGCATGCACAGCCTGGCCTGTAACAGAACCACTACCTGCCAGGGTGAGGCACTACAGTTTTAGTGTGGCCCAAATCACAATCCCACCCATTGCACTAGACCGCTGCCCCACTGCCTGGAGATCGCCCAGGTGCTGCCCCCACTGTCCAGCACCAGGAGTACCAATTTATCATACGTACTCTGTGTGAAACACTGCTAACTACATGACTTGGTATCCCTTTAGCTCAAGCAGAAGAGATGAGCTAGGGCAAGCCGGGTTGAGGAGCAGTTTCTGGTAGGGAACACAAATATACAGCTCCTTCACAAAACATTGCCATAATCTGGGGCACTATATAGTTACAACCACCTAACATCTACTAAGAAAAGACTCATACAATTGTCAAGAAAGTAGCAATCTGTCTCAGTCATCAATAAAAAACAAAATAATCCTTCTCCTAAAAAAGTAGACCCAATGAATACCCCAGATAGACAGAACCAGAATAAATATGCTGATGTGAAGTCATATGAATAGCTACAGAAGAAAATGCAAATGAAGAATCAATGGAAGCCATTAAGAGAGCAAATACACACAACAATGGTAAATAACCAATTGAAAAATGGGCACAGGATATTAACAGACACTTCACCAAAAAAGTCACTGAGACGGCAAACAAACACTTGAAGAAATGTTCATAATCCCTAGCTCTAAGAGAGATGCAAATCAAAACAACTATGAGATACCATCTCACCCCACCAAGAATAGCAAAATTTAACAGAACAGCAAACATCAAATGCTTGTGAGGTTGGGGAGAAACTGCAACCCTTATTCACTGTTGGTGAGAGTATAAAATGGTGCAACCACTATGGATGACCATATGGCGCTCTCTCAAAAAGTTACAAATAGAAATACCATTTGACCCAGCAATTCCACTACTGGGAATTTACCCTAATGAAACCATAACCGCCATTCAAGCAGATATATGCTCACCCATGTTTACTGCGGCTTTGTTCGCAATAGCAAAGAGCTTGAAACAACACAAGTGCCCATCAACAAATGAATGGATAGAGAAGCTGAGATATATTCATATGACGGAATACTACACAGCACTGAAAAAACAAGAAGCTCATGAAATAGTATGCAAAACGGATGACCCTGGACGACTTTATGCTGAGTGAAGTATCTTAGTCACAAAAGGACAAATATTGTATAGGACTACTGTTGTAAAATGGGACTGACAATAGGGTTGAGGGAAGAGAAGGAGGGGAGGAAAAATATATACTGCATTGAAACAGATGGGAGAGAGAACTGTGTAAAAGGGATATATGATTGAGTAATATTATCATGACAGGAGTCCAGAATGAAGGCTGTACAGTGGAGTGGACTTGGGGGGAGGGATTGCATAACAATGAAAGAGTTTTACTTTTTAAGGAGAAGAGTGAATTGGGGGGATGGGGTGGGCAGGGAGAAAAGTGCAACCATGAATGACTGTAAACCCTAAGTCTCTGTAAACTTTCATTAAAATTAATAAAAAAAATTAAAAAACCCAAAAAACACAAAACAATTAAAATAACAGCAAGTACCCTCTCAGATTACAATGCCATAAAGCTATAAATTAACCCTATGAGGATAAAGCTTGTAAAAAAACTAGGACAGGGTTATAAAAGAAAGAAAGAATGAAATAAAAAATTTCCTTGAGAAAATGAAAACAAAAATACAACATACCAAAACCTTTGCAGCTAAGACAGCCCTTAGGGGGCAGTTCAACAGCAACAAACACATAAAAAGTAAAGATGAAAAATCAATGATCTAACTCAACATCTTCATCAAATAGAAAAAGAACAATAATTCTACAGACTCTAGAAGAAAAGAAATTATAAGGACAAGAGCTGGAATCAATGAGACAGAAAACAGGTAAACAAATGAAACCATCAATAAGACCAGGGGCAGGTTTTTTTGAAAGGGTTAATAAAATTGACAAACCACTGACAAACTTAACAAAAGAAAAAAACCATAAAACACATTCTGTCATTAAGAAATGACATCACACCAGAATCAGATGAAATTAAATCAGTATCGGAATATTACAAAAAGCTATACTCTGATAAATTCAATGAGCCAGAGGAAATGGACAAATTACTGAAGCTCATGTCCTACCCAGACTGACAAGAACCTATAAAGAACAACTGAACAGATATATCACAAAAGAAGAAACTGAAAAGGTCATAAAAAGACTTTCCTATAAGTCCTGAACCAGACTGCTTCATAGCTGAATTCTACCAAACATTCAGAGAGGATCTATCAGCAATTTTACTTACATTATTTCAAAATACTGAAAAAGAAGGAACACTCAGATTCATTCTATAAAGGAAGTATAACCAGCCGAAGATATTAACAAGAAAGAAAACTAAAGACCAATTATCTTTCATGAGTATAGATGCAAAATTCCTTAACAAAATCCTAGCCAAAAAAAAAAAAATTGATCATGATCAAGTGAGATTCATAACTGGTATGCCAGGATGGTTCAACATAAGAAAAACAATCAATATAATTCATCACATTAACAAAGCAAAGAACAAGAACCACATGATCACAGCAATTGATACAAAAAATCTTTATGTAGGGTAAATGAAAACCTCTTCAACAAGTGGTGTTGGCAAAACTGGACTGCTACCTGTGGAAAGCTGAAACAGTACCCCTATCTCACACCATACATAAAAATCAACTCAAGGTGGATCAAGCAACTGGGAGCAAAGCCCAAAACCGTACAGTTCATCAGAGACCAAATGGAATCAAGCTTTGATGGCTTAGTCTATGGCATAAAGAGACTGCCAAATACAGCCAGAAATGCACAACCTGGAAAGGATAAAATCGATGACTAAAACCTTTTAAAGATTAAATCCCCGTGTGCATTAAAAACGTCTTCCAATAGAGTGAAAATAAAACCTACTGACTGGGGGAAAACATTTGGCAGTGCCATTTCAGACAAGAATCTCAAAAGCTTATAGAAAGTTTATAGAAGCAAAAAACATGGAAAGACTTTTCACAGAGGAAGATAAGTGGATCAGCAACAGACAAATAAAGAAATGCTCAAAAGCACTGGTAATAAGAGAGATGCTAATCAAAACCACAATGAGACACCATCTCACTCCAGTACCAGTGGCAAAGTTTAACAGGATAGCAAGTAATATATGTAGCTTGTACAATGTTGCTGTGTCTTCTACCCTATGTATAACAGCTCTGAAGACTGCCGTCTCTGAGCCAGTCCAACATACCTACCCTCATTACCCCAGTTACTATAGCAATCCATCTCATCTGGGGTCTTCCTCTCCTGCACTGTCCCATCGCCCTAACAAGTATGATGATGTCCTTTTCTAAAGACCAGTCCCGCCTAGCCATGTGCCCAAAGTATGTGAGACAGAGCTTCAAAATCCTAGCCTCCAAGGAGAAAGGTGCTTTACTATCTCCAGGATAGACTTGTTTTCTTTGTAGTCCATCATATGTCGAAGACCAGAACCACAAATCAAAGGCATCAACTTTTCTTCTGTCATCCTTAGTCACTGTCAAGCTCTCTGATGCATAGCCAGTAATTGCAAAAACCATGGACTAGATCAGGTCTATCTCTCCTGAATTTAAAAACCAACTCAGGAACAAGTTTGAGGCCTTGAACACTAATGAATGCAGACCAGATGAGCTGTGGGAAGATATCAAGAATATCATATATGAAGAATGGAAAAAGTCATTACAAAGACAGAGGAAGAAGACCAACATGGATGTCAAAAGAGACTGAGTATTGCATTAGAGCACTGAGAAGCCAAAGCAAAGGGAAGAAATCAAGGAGTGGAACAGAAGATTTCAAAGGGCAGCCCAGGAAGACAAGGCAAAGTATTATAATGAAACATGCAAAGAATTGGAGTCTGAAAATCAAGAGGGTTGTACTCATTGGCATTTCTTAAGTTGAAAAAAAAAAACCAAAACAACAAGAAAACCCCCACAAAAACAAATTCAAGCCTTGAGTCACAATACTTAAGGATACTAGGGGTAGAATATTGAATGATCCTGGAAGTATTAAAAGAAGATGGAAGGAGTAAAGAGTCACTGTACCCAAAAGACTTGGCTGACACAGAAGAATTTCAAGAACTCACTGAATTTGATTGGCATTTCTTAAGCTTGTACAATATGAGTACTAAATCCCTCTAGACCTATTACGAACAATGAGGTGCAGAGTGTATTTATGAATTTTAAATAGTACGTATCTGTTCTGTGAATAAATTATTTCCTACTAACTTAAAGAAAAGTACAATGCTTTAATACAGTAATTCTTTAGCAACTACTGTGAACTCTTAAATCCCAGCCATAATTTTTTTCTTACCGATTTTTGGGGAATGGTCGACTCATAGTCATAGTAGTAGCAGCAGCAGCAGCAGCAGCATTTGTTTTATAAGATCCAGGTGAATTAAAGCTATTCACAAAACCATTAGGGAAAGGAGCCTAGAATACAATGCAAAACAGTATCAATGGCTAAAGCTTATCTAGTATGAAGTTTATAAAGCAGCCTCTAGTGAGCTAACCTAGGATCAAGTCTCTTCTAAGTCAAAAACAATTTAAAACATTTTGTTTATTCACTTTTGAAATTCACTTCAAGCACCACTACTTGATTTATTCAACAATGAATAACAAGGTCATTGTTTAGTCAGGATTTATAAGATATTTTCTTTCAATTCACTCAGCAAATTTAAAAGGATAAAATTATAGGAACCCATTTAGTCATGTATCTATTTAATATGGACTGAGTTTGTGCTTTCCCCTTGGAAAGAAAAAAAAAATTATGGAGAATAATATATCAGCATCACTAATTAAAATGAACAGAAAGTAACTATTATCAAAAGCAAAACTCCCATCCAATGATTCCTTCAAATTGTCACTTTAATTTTTTTTCCTCTAAAAGGATCTTACTTACTAGTGGTGTTTCAAAGTAAGGTGCAGGATTTGGAGACCAAGACTGAGGCACAAGACTATAGACAGAATATTGTTGGTGAGGATTATGCACAGGCTGCATATAGACTGGTGAGGCATACTGTGCTTGAGCTTGAATGGGAGGACTATACACACTAGAATCCATTAATCGATAACCATTCTTGGCAAAAAAAGTATTGATGGCTTTTATCCTTGCCTAGAAGAAACAGGAATAAGTATTAACAACAAAATTCCTAGTGTGGATTTTTACATTATTATGTATTTAACTTACATAGGTACTTATTTCTGAATCATGTAGAATAAGTAGATTTAAAAAACAAAAGGAAATTTGAAAGCTCTTCCATTGTAGAGATCACAATAAATAGAAACATCAAAGCATCAAAATAGAATTTAGAATAGGAAGCAATCTCTAACACATATATAAATTTAAAAAAGAAATGAAGTGTCAAGAATCCTAAGAATGGTCTTTAGCTAGAAACAAAAATTACAGAAAAAAAGAACAGCTCTTATTCATGCAGCCTGCAGCAAAACTGGCAATCTCTGATACACTGATGATGAGTACAATCTCTATAAAGGCAAACTTAGTATTATGCTCCAAAACTAAATGTGCATTTCCTGTTATTCTCGGCACTCTCACTTCTTGGAATCTTCCCCAAATACATACAGACAAAACCAGTTTTTCATTTTGGTTAACATGCACATAGCGACTTTTTTACAGTAGGGAATTAATGAGAAGAAAAAAATTACACACACAGCTCTCCTCCACAAAAATATGGAAACAAGAGAAAATGATTAAGCAAATAATGGTACACTCATAAAAACTGATTATCAAATGTTGTTATATGTCACTGAGTTAGCAACGCATAGGCCTGAGCCGTGCTCTATCCTGAGCCAATCTTGTCTCTGACACACCTACCCCTATTATCACAGTCACTGAATTAATCCATCTCATCGAAGGTATTCCTCTCTTGTGCTGTCCTTCCACTCTCCCAAGTATGACATCCCTCTCTCCAAGGATTGGTCCCACCTTGCAACATGCCAAAATATGTCAGATGAATCTTCAGAATCCTTGCTTCCAAGGAGCAGCCTGGTTTCACCCTCTCTAGGTCAAACCTGTTTGTTCTCCTAGCAGTCCAGGGAATATTCAATACTCTTCTCCAGCACCACAGTTCAAAGTCATCAATTTGCCTTCTATCATTCCTAGTCATTGTCCAGCTTTCTGACACACAGCAAGTTCACAGCAAAAGACCATGGCCTGAATCAGGCACACCTTAGTCTCCAGGCTGACATCATTGTTCTTCAGTACCCTGGAAAGGCTCCCTATTAGCAGACTTTCCCAATACAATATGTCTTTTAATTTCCTCGCTGCTTGTTGATTTTGGAGCCAAGCAAACTGAAGCTGTTAACAATCTGAATCTCTTCATTGTCTATCATAATACTGCCAATTAGTGATGAGAAAGATTGTTTTCTTGACGGTGTGCTTCAATTCATACATCAGGCTGCAGTCCTTGACCCTCTGCAGCAAGTGCTTCAGGTACTCCTCAGTTTCAGCAAGCAGGGTTGAGTCATTTGCATAACACAGATTGTTGATGAGTCTACCTCCAATCCTGATGCCACATTTCTCCTCATAGAGCCCAGCCTATAGTTCCGCATATAGTTTGATATGAAGATAGGACACATCCTTTATGCACACCCTTCCCAATTTTGAACCATGCAGTGTTTCCTTGCTTTGTTCTGACGACTGCCTCCTACTCCAAGTATAGGTTTGCCATAAGCACGATCAAGTGTTCTGGGATTCCCATTCTTCTCAGGGTTAGCCAGTTTGTTGTAATCCACAGTCAAATACCTTTGCACAGTCAATGAAACAGATAAAAGACATTCTCTGGTCCTCCTTGCTTTCAGCCAAGATCCACCTGACATTAGCTATAATATCCCTAGTATTATGGCCTCTTCTAAATCCAGCCTGCTCTCTGGTAGTTCTCTATTAATGTGCTCTTCCAGTTGTTTTTGAATAATGTTCAGTAGAATCTTGTTTGCTTGTGTTATTTAACGCTATTGTTCGATAATTTCCACACTCTGTTGGGTCACCTTATTAAGTAGATGTAAAAAAAATGGAGAGATTGCTCAAAATATAATTGGGACAATATACTGTTAAATGTAAAAGAAAGAGGCAAGTCAAAAATAAAACTGTGGACTATTTAGCTAGGCAAGATAAGGGTATACACAGGCACCACTGAGTCTTACTAATACTGTATTTGGCTTTTAAACCTTGGCGATAATAAAAAAAATTATAAAAGCAATAGACACAAATGTGGATACAATTAGTAATGTAATACAATAAGCAAAGAAAATCCCCTAAAACAGTTATTTAGAGAATACATTTATAAAGGAAAATAGTAATAAAGAGAAAGGACTACAGATTTTTTAAAAAAGAAAAAAGGGGATGAAATCAGAAAAAAAAACCACAAAAAACCGACCCAGCAATTGAGTAATATTTAAGAAATTATTTTTAAAATTTATCATGGTGATAAAAACAGAAAATGTCAATTATTTCTGCATGTACAATTCAGCCTAATTGAGATTCTTCAAGTTGTGCAATAATTCCATTTATTATTTCTTCTCCTTTGATTCATCTTTATTTTAAGCATCCAAGGTTGAGACTATCTTTATATAAACATTCCCTCAGTTTTTTAATTTGTGGTCTTACACCATAATTGGGAGCTCTAGTGGCCCAGTAGTTAAGAAGCTGCACTGCAATCCCAAAAGCACTTGGTTAGAGGTCATCAGCTGTTCCTGGGGAGAAGGATGGGCAATCTCCTCCCATGAGATTAACTGCCTCTGAAAATCCGCCAGAGGGTTTGCCATGGGTCGGTTTTGAGTCTATGGTACACAATAGTACCATAACTGCTCTACTGTAACTGATTTATGTCACTCAGCATAATCTATTGTTGTTGTTATGTGCCGTCCTTGAATCAATCCATTTCATCGGACGGGCTTCCTCTTCTGTGCTATCCCTCCACATTGCTAAGCATGATGTCCCACTTCCAAGACTGGTCCTGCTTTGCAACATGTCCAAAGTATGTCAAATGAAGCTTCAGAATCCTTGCCTCTGAGAAGCAGCCCGATTTTACCCTCTCTAGGACAAATCTGTTTGTTTTCGTAGCAGTCCATGGTATATTCAATACTTTTCTCTAGCATCACAGCTCTAAGGCATCAATCCTATCATCACTAGTCATTGCCCAGTTTATTGACATATAGCAAGTAAGTGTAAAGATGATGGCCTTGGTCAGGCGCACCTTAGCCTCCGGACTGACTTTGTTGCTCTTCAGTACTTTGGAGAGATCTCTGACAGCAGATTTTCCCAATGCAATTAATCTTTTAATTTTCTGGATGCTGGTATCAAGAGCATTGTTTGTGAAGCCAATTTATGTACAGTGTTTCAGGAAATTGGTATCATTCTCTTTAAAATCATTCCAACTCATAACTTCCCCTTTCTAACCTCCTTCTGAGCCCTGGTTAATACAAGTCACGTCTGGTTTTTATGTATTTGCTTATTTCATAAATTAATTATACAGTACTTATTCTTTTGAAATGGACTTATTTAATTCTGTATCAACATTGTTAATCCAGTTGTACATGCACCAGGACATCTCTTTTAAGACTGAGTAATACAAGCTTCCTCTTGCTTTTCAAACGCAGAGAGGTCAGGTGGCCTAGTGGGTAAGGAGTTTCACTGTCAATGGTAAGCAGTTTGTTCACCAAATGCTGACAGAGAAAAAATGTCAGTGTTCTCCCATGTGATTTACAACCTCTGAAGACCCACTGGATGGTCAACTATGAGTTCTGTCTCAAAGACAATGAATTTAAGTTTTGTTATTCAAATGGAGAACTTTTCACAAGCCAAAAATCTTCTTAAAATAAAATCTTCTAAAGCCAAGAAGCATTTACTATCATTATTATGCAGGGAAAGCTTTTAACACCTTCAGACTGAAAAATAACTTACCACATCATGCCAAGTAATATGTAAAATCTAAAAGAATACTTTATATACTTGTCATACAGTCCAAACTCATGGCACTGTATTTTGTTTACTGATATTTCATTCATGACAACAGTTGTGTTTGGTTGTCTTTAAAAATTTCCTTTCCAACTATTTGGTGAATTAACTACCCACATCTGCTCATAACAAATGCCAAGGTGTAAGGTAAGAGTAACAATGGTTGTGATTGTTATGTGTTAACTTGGCTGGGCCATGATTCTCAGTGGTTTGGCAATTATGCAATGGTATAATTATCTTTAATTTATGATCATTCTTCTTTTTCATGTAATGTAGTTTTGGTGAGGGCTGGGTGTTGTTTTCTTTTACAGGATCAAACTTGCTGTAATAGTTAATATTGTGTGTCAACATGTGATCCTCAGTATAATGTTACTATCCTAAAATAAGGATATAGGATGAGAGAATAATCGATGCCTTTGACTTGTGGATTTAGAGAATACTGAATATCCCTGGGACTGCTAAGAGAACAAACAAGTCTGTCTCAAGAAAGTGAAATCGGGATGCTCCTAGGAGACAAAGATGGCAAAACGCCTCGCATAATCTGGATGTATTGTCATAAAGCCCAGTCCTTGGAGAAGGTAAAGGGTCAAAGAAAGAGAAAACCTTTAATGAGATGGATGACATAGTGGGCTCAAGTGTGCTGGAGATGGTGAAGATGGCATATGAGAGGGCAAGGTTGCTATGAGTTGTACTAGACTTGATGGCACATAACAACAACGTGAGGTTAATTAGGCAGGCTTTTTCCTGAAAAGATTATGATCTGATGAAGAGGAAGTCTCCTTACTGGTGTGGCCTGCATGGAATAAATGTTTGGATTCTCTGGAAGAGCCTCTGGTTTTCTGGCTCATGGCTTTACCTATTTGCCAATTGTGGACTCGCCAGCCTCCGAACCCAGCAGTCTTCAATTCTGCTCCACGGTGACAGCTTTAGGACTAGTGAGCTTCTGAAGCTGGCAGTCCTCTTGATTTGTCTGCTTCTGAAGTTAATAATCTCTGCTGCAAGCAGTCAAAGATCCTGCCTGCCTGCTAATAACTTGGACTCATTAGCCTCCCTAGATGCCTCTCTCTTTAGTTCTAACTTACAGAGCTGGAACTTGCCAGCCTCTATAAGCATGTAAGACATTTCCTGAAATACCTTTT